ATTAGAGACAAATTATCTGTTATTGATGAAATGGTCCAAACTGTCCTATGTGTATTGATAGTGCTCGAGTGAGCATGAGGCAGAAGCTATGAGGCACAGAAAAGGGTCATGTAGGCTGCTTCCACAGTCCAGCCAAGGTCTCATGGACTAATCCAAAGCCCTCCTAAACTAACAAGAGCTTCTCCAGACAATCAAAATCTAATCTACACACTAGATGCCAGTCTGTAGAATGAAATATGAGGGTTGCAGACCTTCACCCAGAACATGGGCTGGATGATTGAGCCTGTAAGGAAGAAGCATCAGGACAGGTTCCTTGATGAAAATGATTACTTGGGGGAAAAGTATCATGTGGCAAACCTCAGGCTGGTTTACAAGTGGGCTCGAGAGGGGAATTGTGATAGCAATAGTAGCTGGACTTTCTGTTTACTCTTCTGCCTGCTTACAGGCAGCAAGAGGTTTTTGTTTCATGGAAACTCCATCATACCTCCCTCATGCCCCCTACAGCACTTTCTGTCAGAGACACTGTGTCCAGCATCAAGCAGTTACGTGTTCTCCCAGTGATAACAGACTCCCTGACGTACGTGACTCTCCAGAACCTGTACTGATCAACGCAAGGGATGGTCAGTCATGCAGTCAGTCAGCAATGCCTGCCTCATCACGATCCCAACTCCCTGCCCTGCCTTAGCAGGCTATAGGTAAACAGAGATGCATTAGGAAGGGCAGGCTTGGAAGCCAAAGACTACAGGCACATCCTGTCCTCTCTCCATGCATCCACCCAAGCTATTCCAGCCTGACCTAACACCTGCAAACTGAGTCTTCTGCATGGGTGCAATGCCACACTCAGCCCATCCAACCAGGAAAGGTGCAAGAGGAACGTCTAGATCAAGCATACAGCACAGTACAATGCCTTGAGGCTCCAAAAGAGGTGTGAAATGAAGAGAAGCAGGAGAAGAGAACTCAAAAGCACTAATAAACACACATGCCAAGTGTGAGTCATAGCACAGTGGTCTCCGTCCACTCAGGCTGGGTGAGCTGAAATTGAAGGGACAGCGCATCCAGCAGTCACAGCCTGAAGACCCTGGATGCTGATCACTGCAAGAAGCCAGCACTAATGAAAAATTCTGAGGTTATTTTTAACCTATGTATCAGTCCTGTATATGAGTGCTACGACAGTGGAGCTTTGCCTAAATTATTTTAATGCCACTTCTTTTTTAACCTATTTCCCAGTTTAATGAGACCATTGACAATGAGAACACAGCGTCATGACCTGACAACAGACTGCCTCGAAATGCACAGTTCTCTGGCTAAAGGAGTCCTTTTTGCTTTTCTCTTGTGCTTGTGAACTATTAACCTTTGATCCTAAGGAAGCAGATAATGGTTCTTTTTGAACAAAGACAAACTGATAGTAACAGACCTCTCAGTTCATAGGAGGGTTTTCTTTGTTTCCAAGTCAAAACTCACTGGCTCAGATCCAGCCAGCTGTCTTCAGTTTGTGGATGTGGCTCTTGAGTAAGGTTTTAAAACTACATCCAGCATTGTGTAATTGATGAACATTCATATTTTTGAGCATTGCAGGAAGGACAGATCAAACAATAAGGAATGATGGAGGCCAGCATGCCATAGTTACATTGTGTGGATCAGACTGTTCATGGGCCTTCTGTTTCAACAATAATAAATCTCTAACTAGTCTCCTCTGGTCTCAGTATTGTCTCCCTCTTGAAGCAGGCAGGCCTTGCTATGTTGAATTCCAAAAGGAGGCATATTGCATCCCTTTCTGCTTGAGCATGACTGATCACTTCTGCTTCGAAATATTTGGTATCTCTGCTTCTTCTCTAAGACTACTCCATCGCCTACCAGATCACATTATCAGGAAGTTCTGCTTGATATTCCTCCTTCAGCTGTCCTAAACATGCTCAAGCATCTTGTTCAAAGCCATTCTTCAGGACATTTCCCATTATGTTGCTATCCCGCTCCCTTTCGCGCAAGTTCTTCTCCATGCGCATTCACAGCAGTCCTCTTCAGCAGCACAATAGGGTTGACATCTATCACATAGTGTTTATTTTATTTTCATAGCTCACCTGAGCCCCTTTTCCTCCTGCAGTCATCCTCCTGTGAAGTTAAGAACACATGCAGACAATCAGCTATTCAAAACAAGGTCCTGTTTTGAAGGCACCTGTGAAGGCAGAAAGCCAGGCTGGTATGCTGTGGGCAGCACCCACAGACAGACAGTCTCCATTTCATTCACCAGAGCAACAAATGTGAGATCATCTCAGCTAGGAAACTACAGATTTATTCACATTGCATCTAGGAAAGAGAGACAGCATATATTTTTTGTAATGCAACTACACTGTGCCATAAATAACTCAAGGCACTAGGACTAACAATGTCCCAGTTATTAGCTTACCAGTCATACTGGGGGGACAAATCTCACACTACAGAAAAAGAGCTATTTCTTCCTATTCTGTCATACATATAAATAAATTATCGGGAAGGTTATCATTTCTCTTCCCTAAGCGGCAACTAAAGCATGTTTCTCTTGTATGGCTGTTCAATATGTATGTTATTTTTAAAGGTATTAAAATTCACCATCTTCAGACAACAGGCCACTTTTCTTGCACAAGACCGCTGCTCAGAGAAGAAGTCCTACAAGGGTTAAATGACTTCTCCAAGGCTGGGAGCACATAACCAAGTGGGGATTGTAACTAAGGGGCAACCAGGCTCCTTTCCTGTTCAGTCCCACTGCTGTCTGCACTGCGATGATTTCATTCACCAAAACATGGTCATGGACAAAGAACGGACTCTGCAAAAACAGCCCCTTATCTGCTCCTGCCTGCCTCTTGTCCAAGTCATGTGTGATTAGTTTACTGACACAAACACCCCTCTGGAGCCAAAGCAGCTGCAGGATCAAGCTGTGCCCTGATACAGTTCATGCCTTTACAGCAGTGTAAGAGCAGTAGCTATGGTCTAACTGAGTACAGGAGCTTCACTGTTTATAGAGCTGGAAGGAAAACAGCTTTATTATAAGGTATCAGGTAGACCTGGTTGAGTTGGCAATCAAAAAAGAAAAGTCAATCATGATTCGTAACAATAACTGCAGTGAGTATGAAATAAAGATAAGCTGTAGGGAACAAATATGGGGGGGAGGGGGGTAGAAATGTAATTCCCAGATGGTTTATCTTTATCTTTTTTCTAATTGTCCATAGGAAGCAAAAGGGTTCAAAATTCTTGGCACTGGGGGTACTCGGAGTAGGTGGCAGCAGAACCTCTGTGTGTGTAACTCCAACCAAACACCTTTTAAGTAATTACTTCTGTGAAAATTAAACTAAGGAAGCTTCATTTCAAATAGGTGTTTGCATCAGACCCGAAAGGGTCTGATGATGAGTTGCAGGGTAAAGAGAAGTTGCTGAGGGCCAGATCCATCCCATTTAACTTTAGGCACCTAAATGCCTTGGCTAATGTAGGAAACTGGTCTTCCTAACTAGTCAATGTAGACAAAAGCTTCTTCAAAGAGACTGGAGGCACATTCAGAATTAACATCACTCTCTGCTCCGTACAGAATTCTAAACTCTAAAGTTCAGTGATGCTCCTAACTTGGAGACCTCAGTTGCACAAAGTTATTCCCTTCCTGCAGTCTAAACAGCTCTTGCTGCAACGTACGTCCACTCCTTCTTGACCTGTACCCAATAGAGAATAGTTTATTCCTCTTCTCTTTGCACATATTGTGTCCCCTTAGTGAGGTATCTGAAGCAAGCAAACACAGTTCTTTCAGTTTTTACACTCCAGCCACAGTGTCAAGAACTCTGGTTGTTCTCACTGTTTGCTTTTGGGATCATGCCACTAGGCTCACATATTTCTAAAAGCTGGCACCCAAATCTGGACACTCACATTGCCAGTAGACTAATGCCAGGCATTGATTTGCTGTTCTATTTTCAATAGAGTGGCAGGATTATGTGTTGCATGTAACTCCTGCTTCTGATGCTTGCGTAAGAGCAGTTACAGCTCCCCAGAGACCTTGCAGCATATCAGGATTAGCACACCTTTTCACTGAGAGAGAAACAAGGGCCATACCCCTTAGTCCTACTCCCACAAGAATGTCTTCTCATGGTGCAGAAAGAGCAAGAAATGGGTATAAAGAGAAAAAGACAAATTTGGTGGTATCAGTACACAGTAATGCCACAGACCAAACACCGATGGAGATGCTGAAGTTGGGAGTTGCAGTCCAACCTTGCAACAGTCCTTTTGGGTGCCACTGGAAAGACTTTTAACCTGTGATTCCCTTTGATTCTTCTCCTAACTATGACCTAAATAGCCTGGTTTAGGTCTGTAGGAGGGCACCTGTGTTACCACGTGCCACATTCATTCATTCAATCTTGTTCAGACCACTGACCTCCACTGTCGTACAACTGTTAGCAGCAACTGAAGTAAAAAGTTGAGAGTGATGCCAGCTGCTCAATCCAGTGTCCAAAAGTATGAGAGAGTGAATCTGTGATTTCAGAAACAGTTGAACGAGAGCTGCAGAGACCTGGTAAACAGCAAAAGGCCCTAATGCTCATGTCAGAAGCCCTCCTGCGCCTTCCAGAAATGCCTTTCCTGGGTTTGAGACTCTCCAGAGAACAAAATGCCACATGATATGCTTTGCAATGATTCCTGAATTCTCTAGAAACACATGATGAACAGCAAATAGGCAAAGCAATTAGGAGGGCAAAGAGTTCAGTGGCCTGAAGTACGTTTGCATAAACAAACTCCTTGAATCATTATGAATAATTAATGTGTAAAAAACCCCTAATCTCATTCCTGGATAGCCCTCAGTATAAAGGGATAAATAAATCATAAGGAACAAGGTGTTTTCTGAGTGAGAATAGCCAAGCTAACTACAAGCTTAGCAGTTTCACATTTCAAGGCTGTAGTGGGTAGCCTGTGGTTACTGTCAAGAACAGCTTGAACACAGAGGTGTCTCAATAACAGCGCTGCTATTTACAATGGTAGTATTATTCTGTCTATAGGAGACCTTTCAGATGAGGACTGCAAAGTGGTTCACAGCTATTCAGCTTCACAAAAGCCCGGTAAGGCCAGAGGGAGTATTTATTAGATGCAATTATGGCATTGTTACTAATGCATTACAATTTTATTGGCAGGTGTAAATCTTTGCTACTTGGATATGAGGGATTTATATGCATTAAGTATAATAGCTAAGAGAAAACCTCATAAAAAAAAGGTTAATCTCCCTTTTTGTCCAAAGGCACTATACATAAGCAGCGGGTATAGCTGGAATTTCTTGCAGGTGACATTTATGTCACTTGGTCATAAATGAATTTAACTTGAAAGCACAGTGAGGTATTTGTGTATTAGGAAATGTCCTGCTGATTGAAGAGGAGGGGGACAAGGAAGGTCTAGTTAAGCTGAATCCAAAGTTAGGCTCTTACAAAGAAAATCCTAAACAGAGAGCTTGCCATCAGAAATATGCTGTTACCTGCAGAGCCAGAATATCATAATTTAATTTATTATTACAAATTGATAAGCAAACTGGTGAACAGTGAAGCAATTTGTCACTATCTCTGCATTTTATGATAGATAGGAAAAAAAGTGCATGCCCTGGTCCACAACTATGAAAGAGCAAAACATGCATAGGTGACAAATAGCTTAATCCAAACCAGCAGTACCAAGGCCACCATGAAATCATCAGCAAATGTGTCTCGTAGGCAGTGAGGTTAGTAGAAGCAGATGTGTTACTTTAAGCATTGGCTTGAACAGGGTGAATACAATAGTTTAGAACAAGTAGGTACAACAGGATTTCATCACTTGTCTTTTCCCCCTTGCCAGAGGACTCCAGTGGTCTGCAAGTCAGCCAGGACAGCACATTAACTGCTGACTACCCAGGTCTGAGGCAGATACAAGTCAACCATTTATTCTGTGGCAACTGAAGCACAGCAGTCTTCACTCAATGACACACATTGACTATAACTGAGGTTGGTCTCAAGGTTGTTTAAACTTTTTCAGCAGTTTCCAGAACCAGATGTCAAAGACATTTTTGACAGAAAGGTCCAATGCATTAGGTTAGTTAAAAACACAACAGAATTAGACCAATGTTGCAACAGATTTCAGTGGTGGAATTGTTTTTAAGTTAACTGTTTAAGCTTTAGTCTTAGTTTTTCTCATGCTAAACAAGAGCAAACTCGCATGGCTCTGCAAGCCTTCCATCCAACACTGATGCATCCTTCTATTTCTTCTACTTTTAGCTAATCCTATGATTATTTGCACCAAATAAAAGCTGTAGGGATCCCTACACATTTTGGAGGGGTACATTCATCGTGACTTTAAAAAAGCTTTGCTCTGTTCCATGCATAGTAAAGATAGTGTCTACCTGAGTATGTGGCATGGCAGGTTTGTGTTGCGTGTTTGATAGCTATCTGAGAGGACACATGGGGCTACAGATAGATGCTAATAGGCAGCAATTACTGGTTGTGAGGTCTAAGACAAGACTTGTTTTTCCTCTTAAGGAATCAAAGTTGGCTTAAAAGAGGATGAGGACCATTACTTAGATAAGGCTTGTCACTGAACATTACAAACTGCCTGACAGGTCTGAAAAATAAAACTTGCAGCTCAGCATCCTCCAAATGCTTCAAAAGTCACTCTTAATGCCACCAAAAAGAAATAATCATTCAGCTTTTTCACACTGTGCTATAGACTCAGCTATTCAGAGCTCTTTCACAGGGTACTTCCCTAAGTTAGCATGAACTGCAGTTGACATTTCTTACTTAAACAAACCCAGGATACATTTTCTCCTAGTGGAAGCCCTAAGCCATTTCCCTGCAAAATCCTCAGTTCTACATCTGGAGATACTCAGCTAACAACAGTGGGCTGCCCAGACCTCCAAATCAGTCTTAGTCATGCACCCACCATCACAGCCAGCCAGGGCTGGAACCCCAGCCATGCTGCTCAAGTCAGTCCCTTTGCTATCCAGAATATACATACATATTTCCCACACGTATGAAAATGCTGGTTCCACCCAAGCAGTCTGAATTAGTCTTTCTGCACGTTCCAGCCACTAGCTTACATGCTATAGTCCTCCATGACGAGAAGGGGAAAGAAATGGTTCCTTGACTTACATGCTTCACTAGCCAGCATGTTGCTTGACACGAAAACACTGTCACTGTGCTTTTTCACTGCACCTCACATCCACACCTCAAGAGGTGCTTTGAAAGGATTAGCTTCTTGTTCCAATTAAAATACGACATGGTATTTTCCAAAGCATGCGACTTTCATCCGACTGATGGGTAAGGTTTGGGATGGAGGAATAGAGCAATTCCTTGCAGCCAGTATGCGTTGAAACAGGAATAGATGAGAGTAAAATCTCAGAGGATTGCTAGTCATCACTCCTGTGCTCTGGTATCCAGCCACAGTCTCTCTGTATAAACAAAGGCTCTGGCCACTACAGTGTTTTCTGGGCTGCTGTAAAATGTTTCCCCACCCCTCTCAAGGGAATCACTGATGCTTACAAAGGAGGCAGCCTTAGTCAGGCTTTTCTCACAATGCCTCTGTTGAGGAGTCTGGATGTCAAGAAGTTATAAGGAGATGCAGACAGTGCAGGTGAGGCTTGGCAAACTGTGCGATTAGAGGCTTGGCTGTAAGCTGGATTTGTGAGTGCATCATTATAGCTCCAGATTAATATTAGTGCAGATTGTAAATGAAACGCTTCTGTCAAATAATTGCAAATATTAACTTCACAAACATGACATCAATGCCAAAAAGAATACTCTGCCTCTAGAAACACCAAAACTGGCTTGTTCTTCATAAAGTTTCAACATTGCTTTTGCCCAAGAAGAACTCACTATTCTGATATGGATGAATGATAACACAATAGTAAAAGCATTTTATGAACTGGGACGTCAGTCAGAGGACGAGTCAGTAATAGCAAGTCTGGATCATGCAAATGGCAAAGTGTCACTGAGAAGGGGAAAATAAGAACTTCTTCTGGGTGAGATACTTCAAAGTTGAACTGCAGACCTCTCTGAGAGGTTGGGGCATGGAATGTTGAAAGCTATCAGCTAGGTAGACAAACAGCCAGCATCAGTTGGTGCAGCTCCTTCTGTATTAGGCTTCTGACAAATACATATAGCCAGCATGAGCCAGAAGGTTTACCCCCAGTTCAAACTTCTTCTGCACATGCAAGATGAAGCCTAGTTTCTTACAGTGGTATTTCCAGAGTCACAACAGCCCCTTCCTTCACTCCCCTAGTAAGACATCTGTCCAGGGCCCTAAACTTTAAAATTGTGAGTGCAATTATAAAAACCATCACAATTCTCATGGGATACAGGAATAAAAGAGACCTGGCCTCAATCCTACAGTGGAAATCAGAGGATCTTTAAAATCTGGATAAAGGAGCGCTCTGTCCATTCTGGGAGGATTGAATGGAGTTGAACTCCCCTGTCAAACTCAGCCTTTTCTTGAGTTTTGACATTTTAGCAACAACACAACACAGATTTCAAGGGACAAGAAACCGTTGTTCCGCAGCATCTTTTTACTCGGTGTGTGACAGAGAGAGAGAAGGAGAGATAGTTGTTGCATCTCTTTTATCACCTGAAGTCCTGATGCTCTGGAAGACCCTGCCACAGTAACCCAGCCCTTATTTAGAGGATTTTTTCATCTGGAGACCCTTTTACAAGCATGCAATAGTTGTAAGCCATGAAGCCATTAAATAAGCCAGTAAATAAGTAAGCAAGGGCTGGCTTACTGTTGTAGGGTCTTCCAGAGCATCAGGACTTACTTGTGCGTGATCAGGTTGGTTTAGAGCTTTTAAAACTGCTGATATGCTTGGTCCTGTACATGCTAACCAATACATCAACCAGAGCCCTCAGGTCCACAGGAATTAATAGGCATTCACTACTTTGGACCCCCTAAATCAAACTTAGAGTGTGCTTACTTGCTGTAGCATACACTACTATATAGTGTACGTCGTATAATTATGGTGTCACAAGCACAGCACTGGGCTGAAAAGTATGGTCACTTCTGTTATTAATACATTGGATTTCTGGTTTTGTAGCATTGTTTAACTAAAAGCAACTACATAGAGCATTTAGTGCACTGTCACATGTAATAGAGAGATAATGTCAATGGAATTGCATGTTGTCACAGGATAACAGCCTCCCGCTGCTGCTGAAATGCCAAATTGAAGCCGAGGCATTTATGGAAAATAAACGTCAAGTGAAAGCCAAGATGTTTATTTTAAAAACAAGAGACATGGATCTTGTGGCAATGTTCCATCATGTCTCTATTTCCCTAATAACAAATGTCCAATGTGGGTAGAGCCAAGTTACAGTCTCTTCCTAGGACCGCATGGAGAGGATGAAGCCTGAACACTTCACACAAAGACTTTGCAGGATGGTCTCTCATCTGCTTTGCTTCAGGTCAGGTTTTAGTCAAATTGTCCAGCTAACAAGCACAAAATGGTTTCTCAAATGTATGCTGCATTTATGTATGCTAAATTTTGCTATGTATGTAGAGAAGTTTGGCAAGCCAGCGGGAAGAAAAAGGGACAGCAAATGCATTTCTAATGCGCTTTTATGTAGCCCTTTTTCTCCAGAGAAAGAATGGTAATAACATGAGGCTCACTGAAGTCAATGGGAAGCCTTCCAGGCACTTCAGTGGGCTTTGACTAATGCCTTAAGAGGACAAACAGTTAATATTTTAAGATGATATTATGTTAATAATGGCAGTGACCAAATTTGATTGCAATGAGAGCATGACTGGACAAGGCTGGACAAGGCAGACAAGATCCTTCTGGGTCACAAGTTGAAGCACAGCCACCCCTTGCATCTGGCCCATTGGAGATGCCTGCTTTGTCCACGTCAGCCTCACAGCCACAGAGAAACTCTTCCTGCACTGTGTTTCTCCAGTAAAGCTTCCTTAAATCCAGTAGCAAAGATGACAATTTGTTTTTCTTTGTGAGAAGAAAACTGAAGGTTATGAGCCAAGACCCAAGTCGTTGAGATATGGTAAAAAAAACATGTTAAAGCTAAAAGTAAGAGCTGGAAATGTCCAGGTCTTAGACATGATGCAGTCTGATCCAAAGTTGCGAGTTTGGGTTTTGTCAAACCTAACTGTAAAGGCCTGAGTGATGAGGCATCTGCTGCTACTCCTGGCATAGTAATGGGCTTGACATCCTAAAAGCTCTTTCAGATATTCATATCAAATTTTCCCTTTCATCACATTACCACTCATTAAATCTCTTTGTATTCATGTAAATTATTCATCTCCCTCCCTGACACTTTATTCTTCCTCCAACTGCATTAAGAGATAATGTTTTCGACTAGTTAAAATTGCCTTTCCCCCTCCTCATCTGCTAACCCCACCATCCTTCTCTAAACACCCATCACCACTCTGTCAGCATCCTCCCTCTCCAACCAACTTCACACAGTGCCAAGACATGGTACAAGGAGCTTGGAGCACCCCCCAGTGCCCTGCACCATTCCCAGTCTCCTGCTCCACCGCTGCTGCTGATGGCCTTCCCCAGGGTAGTGCTGTGTGAAGATGCATACCCATGCAATAGGACTCTCATCCTGCAATCTGTTTTGTGTGGCGAGACAAGCAGGAAGCTGTGCAAAGCATCTCAAAGGACTGGGTTTAAAAATATACCCAGATAACCCACTTCAGTTCCTGAAATGTTGAAGCTTCACAGCTCGTGGCAACGGGGTTCCTCAAATGCAATACATTTTGATTTTCATCACATCTATCCATTATCCTGTATGCAACAGAAGACTGATCTGTCCTAATAACTACTGAGTGAGAGGGTTTGGGTTTTTTCTTTTAAATGACTTCCAAAGGACAAATAAACTAGTTGCTCATTAAAAACTGTGATCTGGAGTGCAAGTGGAAACAATCCATTTCAGTTCTGGAATTTCTTCTCTTCAGCTGACATCTATAAATAATATGCAAGCAAAGAGCTATATTCAGATCATGATAAGGAGCTCTCTGAAATGTAAATTACAACAACAAGGAAATACTGAGTTAAAGGAGATTTGCAAAAGGTAACACTGTGGAAGGGGTTAAGTTACAGTGATTATTTGGCTGCTCTGTGCTGCAAGAGCCAGAGGGATGTTCTGTACAGAAAACATAAAATTGCTTATTTTTTCCTTTGAAGATGCATCATTTCCCAAAGACATTCTGGCTCCAGCTCCGATCTGGCATTCCAGATTGATGCTTGTTGAACCAGCAAAGATACAGGGAAGCAACACATGATTGTGTATCTTCTGGTTTATTGCATACTTGCTGGCAATTTCCTTTATTTCTCCAACTTTTCAGCTTATCTTCTCTTATGGCGGTATGAGGATCTCCAGCTGGAGATCTGACAGGACAGCTTGATAGTCAAAGAACTTGTATTTTATTAGATGATGATATTTATTAACTGTATAAAGATACTACAGCAATAATGGATCTGAACAGATGACAGGGGGATGATGCTCCAGGAATAGCAGGCAAAGCAGCTACATGGTACTCCCAACAGTGCTTCCCACTGTTGGTGTCTTCTTGGGAAGACTTTATCAGATTTTGACAGGCTGATGTTGCACTAAAACGGACTAGGCACAGAATTCATCAAAGCACCTCAGCTGTGAGACTTCAGTGTGGTGATGCACCACAGGCTCGTACCTACTCATACTACAACTAAGGTTGTTTCTATCCCACAGCTCCATTGTCCTAACCTGGTTTCAAACTATTAGTTTTTTACATTAGGATTACGGCTACCAGTCCTGGCCGAATATTCCCAGCCACAATCCTTCTGCTTCTCATTCAGCATAAGGTCTCCCTCTATTCTTGAAGGTGCCTCCTGCCCTTCCCACCAAAGAGGGTCACACTTTAGTCCAGGAGATGACAAGCAGCAAAGCAAGGTCCATGGGAACATGAGGGAATGCTTTGCCAAGCAGCAGGTCCACGCTGGTGTGTGGCCTTTGTAGTCAGGGTTAAACAAACAGCGTGCAAATAAATAAATAATCTGCTCCCAGGTTGTGACCTTGTAAATCAAGCCTGAGCCTGGAAGGGGTTTATATGGTCCAGCTGGAACAGCGGAACAGCCTCAGCAGAGTAAATATATGGGAGGGGTGGGGGGTGGGAATAACTGTTCCTTCCAGTTGCTCCCAGACTGCTGTGGGGAATGTTTGGTGCTGCTGTAAGACATGCTGATGATTAGGAAAAAGGAGAGAGGGGACATCGCTCTCATTTACCCAGCAGCTGCTTCACATTATTTTAAGAGGTTTGGAAGAGGAGTAAAACACAGTTAAATGCACCCAAGGGTAATCTTCCAGCTCTGAAGACAAATAGAGGGCTGAACAAGTAAATGAAAATCCAGCCCAACTAGCTCCTAGCAGCAGGTTTCACTGCAATAGATGGGAGGCGGGAAGGGATTTGCTCAGAGGCTGTTAGCTAGGCATTGCAGCACTGGGATGCTTCATGTACTTTATTGCTCATTACCAAATAACTGTATTAACATTTAGAGCAGTCCTTAGATTTAGTATGGTTTGACCAGACTGGGTAAAAGCTGCTGGCTACATTTTGAGAAGTCACAGAACCATCAAATCACCTAGGTTGGAAAAAACCTTTAAGATCATCAGGACCAACCTCTACCCCAGGACTGCCAAGGCCACCACTAAACCGTCACTAAAAGCCTCATCTACACAGTTTGTGAACCCTTCCAGGGATAGTGATTCCACCACTGCCCTGGGCAGCCTGTTCCAATGCCTGAGCACCCTCCCTGTGAAGAAATTGTTCCTAATTCCCAATCTAAACCTCCCCTGGAACAGCTTGAGGCCGTTTCCTCTTGTTACTTGGGAGAAGAGACGGATCCCCACTTCACTACACTCTCTTTTCAGGTAGTTGTAGAGAGCAATAGTGGTCCCCCTGAGCCTCCTCCAAACTGATCATCCCCCGTTCCCTCAGCCGTTATCCTCACCACAGGTGATCCAGACCCTTCACCAGCTTCGGCAGGGCGGGTGGCCAGAGGGATGGTTGTCCCTACGCAATAGATGTGTAGTGGGGTGCAGACAGGGCGCTGCCATAGCAGGGATAGGGATACGGATAGGGATACTGTTAGGGATACCGGGAGCGGCACAGGCACTGGCGCGGCAAAAGCAGGGAGGGGAGGGGCCGCCTGGCTCCGCCCCCTCGGCGCTGATTGGCTGCGGGAGGTGACGTACTACGGGGCGGGGCGCGGGGCCATGCGGCAGCGCGGGGCGGTGGCAGCGGAGGTACCGGTACCACCGGCACCGGCACCAGTTGCGGGGCCGCCTTCCTGCCCGCGGCGCGGCCCCGCAGAGCCATGGGCGATGGGGGGCTGCCGCCCGACTGCGGCCCCCAGAACCGGTCGGTGGTGCCCCCCGGGAGTAGGCAGCTGCCCGCCGCCGAGCTGCTGTCGCAGCAATGGGCGGTGGGGATGAGCCTGCTGATGGCCCTGGTGGTGCTGCTCATCGTGGCCGGGAATGTGCTGGTGATCGCGGCCATCGGGAGAACGCAGCGGCTGCAGACCCTCACCAACCTCTTCATCACCTCGCTGGCCTGCGCCGACCTGGTGATGGGGCTGCTGGTGGTGCCCTTCGGGGCCACGCTGGTGGTGAGGGGCACCTGGCTCTGGGGATCTTTCCTCTGCGAATGCTGGACCTCGTTGGATGTGCTCTGCGTGACAGCCAGCATCGAGACCTTGTGCGTCATCGCCATCGACCGCTACCTGGCCATCACCTCGCCTTTCCGCTACCAGAGCCTCATGACCAAGGCTCGGGCCAAGGGCATCATCTGCACCGTCTGGGCCATCTCCGCCCTGGTCTCCTTCTTGCCCATCATGATGCACTGGTGGCGGGATGAGGACCCCCAGGCACTGGAGTGCTACCAGGACCCGGGCTGCTGCGACTTCGTCACCAACAGGGCTTACGCCATCGCCTCGTCCATCATTTCTTTCTACATCCCTCTTCTCATCATGATCTTTGTGTATCTCCGAGTGTACAGAGAGGCCAAGGAGCAGATTAGGAAGATCGATAGGTGCGAGGGCCGGTTCTATGGCAGCCAGGAGCAGCCACAGCCCCCCCCACCTCCTCACCACCAGCCCATCCTCGGCAACGGCCGAGCCAGCAAGCGAAAGACCTCCCGCATCATGGCCATGAAGGAGCAAAAAGCCCTCAAGACTTTGGGCATCATCATGGGAGTGTTCACCCTTTGCTGGCTCCCTTTCTTCCTGGTGAACATCGTCAACGTCTTCAACAGAGACCTGGTGCCAGACTGGCTCTTCGTTTTCTTCAACTGGTTGGGCTACGCCAACTCTGCTTTCAACCCCATCATCTACTGCAGGAGCCCCGACTTCCGTAAGGCCTTCAAGAGGCTGCTCTGCTGCCCCAGGAAAGCCGACCGGCGGCAGCACGCCAGCGGTGGGGAGCTGGCCCCGCTGCCCGGGGGCTTCATCAGCACCGTGGGCTCCCCCGAGCGCAGCCTGGCAGGGACCTGGTCCGACTGCAACGGAGGCACAAGGGGCGGCAGCGAGTCCAGCCTGGAGGAGAGGCATAGCAAAACATCCGATTCGGAGTCCAAGGTATAGGGGGGGAGCGTGGGGGGCCGCGCCGGAGCCGGGGCAGGGGGAGTAGCAGGCAGGGAGGCACACGGGAGCAGAGAAATCCCCGGCAGCTGCCTGGTGGTAAGGCTAATGCCGAGCAAAGCTGATCCCCGTCTGAGCAGGAAGAAAGAGGGTGTTTACTTAGAAATAAAAGCAGGTGAACTGGTGCACCACATACCTCATCCAAACTACAGCAAATAGGAAACTCACTGACGGAGAGCAATAAACAGCCCCAAAGACGGGCAGCTTCTAGTTAGGAGACGCACTTTCGGAAGCGGCTGTGGCAGCAGCGCCCTTTGCTCGGGCGATTTGTCCCGGGACCGGGCTGGTGGTTGAACCTGAGTAAGCGGGTGCTGGGCTTTGGCTCTGCTGGGTTGGGGTGCAGCCGGGGTCCCCGCCAGCCCCTGCCTTGCCCAGGGATGTTTCACACCCCAGGGGTCATTCCCCGTGGGGTTTTGGGAGCCACAGGGTCCGTGCTGCAGGTGCTCAGGCAGAGAGTACGGCCCCGTGGGCAAGATGAGTTTTAGGCTCGGAGTAGTTTCCACAGATGGAAGGAAATAATGAGTAGCAAGGAGCACAGGTATACTTTGAAAGGGGGGTTAAAAACCCAACCCACACTCTTGTGCTTTCCCCCCCTGCATCAGCAAGCAGTGAGTTACTGTGCTTATCTCCTTCGGCCAGACAATAGCAGTCAGGCTGAGGAACTTCTACCTCAAACTGTGCATATTGTACAGGGGAATAAACGGACCATGTTTATATTAAACAGCATATTTACATACCACTAAGAGTATTTTATGAAGGGGGGGGGGAGCCTTCTGCAGCTTGTTCATTGTAATTGCAGATGAACGGGGGGGGGGGGGGGGAATCCTGGCAACAACAACAAAATACTGCACATTTCCTAAAATATGGCAACAAAGCCGGGTTTTGCACAGCGTTAAGAGTTGTAAAGTTATTTGGAGATGTTACTTGCACACATGCCCACGGACGTGATTTAAAGGTGAAAAGGAGGTTTGAATAACACCACCCCTGACCCCGATTTCTGGTTGCGTCTGATCTGTTATAGTTTTTTTGAGAGAGTGGTGTTCTTTATATTATTTTACGAAGGTACTGTAAATATATCCCTATTATAAATTAAAATCTGTTAAGAGACTTTATTATTTTGATTTCCAAATGCCCACGTGAATCTGCTGTTGTTTTAGCTCTTGTGTGTCATTTCCATTTTCCTCTGTGTGTGTGTTTTATAACGTATTTATACTCTGGTGCAATTTACTACTGTGTAAGTAATTGGTCTATGTGCAATAAATACCATTGCATCACAAGCAAGCGTGTCTCTATAGGTTTTGAAACAATACCTACCTATAATGGGAAGAACAGCATTTGTTTTTCTCCAAAGATGGCTCTGATTACCAATGCAACTCTATCTAATGGCTTTTCCTGACACAGGGTTGTAAAAAACGTGTTCGAAACCCAATAAGGTTGTGTTCCTGTTGCAGCGAGGTCTGCTGACTTCCCTTACAATTAATGGCTAAAGACAAGGTGTTTCCACTCTGATAATGAATGCTCTCATTTTCTGTGACGATTCCTTTCTGGAGTATATTCTTTTCTGTTTTCTTTCCCCTGTTAGGAGTACGTGGCTGGGAGTCAGGAGACCAGAATATTTAAGATTACAGAGGATGTGTAATCTGAAAGCTAAAAATGGTCTCGAGTAGAAAGAAACCTCCGTATGCGGTACACGCCACCCCACAAGTAAGTCCACCTCGTGCCGACAGTGGGCTTGATCCTGCCTGAGTGAGGTGGGTGCTGTGTGCCCGGCGGGTCCCGGTGCTGAGCGTGGAAGTTGGGGGAGATCCCTGCCCGAAAAGCAGCTGGAGGAGGCTCATGTAAAGGGGAGATGGCAGCCAGGGAGCCGGTCGCGGGAGTCCAGACTTTGGTTCCCTCTTACTGTAAAGAAGGAGTTAAACCTCTGAGGGAATGGCTGGGGAATAACTGGAGCAGGATCGGACTCTGGGACAGACTTAAACACCGCTGAAACCTCTTCTGTGTCACTGGGTGAAATAAAGCTGCCGAGTCTGTAGATCATAAAGCTGATGGTTATGTGCAGTGTGGCTTCCGTGTGCTGACAACAGCCGCATATTCTTTGGGGGCCAGGTTCTGATAACTGAGTGTTACACTGTGAATTTATCCAAGTAAGGAGCTGCTGTGAATAGAAAAGATGCAGATTTGCATCTCTGGTCCGAAAGATTGTCTTCCTTTATTGCTTTATGAAGGTACTCTCTATCCTTGTGGTTTCATAAAGTTTTTCATTACTGCACTGAATACATGGCTGATAGAGCAGCAAAAAGACAGTGCAGAATGGAAGTGAAGCCTTTTTTAGCTTTTATTAAACTCTGAAGTGTAGTTAAATTAGAAGTCAGCTTTGAGGAAGAACACTTCCCGAAGCAAGTTCTTTAAGTTGGTGGCCAACAGTTTATTTTGGAAACCGGCTGTTCTTTTCTTTGTTTTAAAAAATAAGGAATTTGTGCTTTGCAATTTCTAATGATTCATTTTGATGGGGAAAAAAAAAGCTAAGTTACACTTTTTATGCAAGAACAAAATAAAGGGACCAGGGAAGTAAATAATACTTTTCCATTGATGTTATTGAGGTTTGATGTGAGCTGCAGTTAATAGTGTCTACCCTTGGTAATAGTGAAATGGGCTCCTTAAAATGCTGGGGTGATGTCAGATCAGGTGCTCAGTGAAATAGACTCTGCACCAAATGTTTGGGGTCTTTTAGATCTGTTTTTGTCTGTGATTCCAGCAAAAGCAACAGGACCAAAAAAGGTGCTGGGATGGCGATGTCTGATGCCAGCAACTGCAGTGAGATGTTGGCTGTGCATGTCAGGGTGGGATGGGACGGGGAGGCAGTGCTGCCTTCCTCCTGCATTTTGGGGATCACAGTGAGCGAGGGTAGGACTGGGTCCCTGCATGCTGGATAGAGAAGAGCAGGATTCAGCCCCAGCACCCAGCTGGGAACTGAAGTGGCTGCTGAGCCCTCGTCCTCAGCAGGGTGCTGGATCCTGGGGAAGCACAGTGCCTGCTGCATGGAGGGGGACAGTCTAACAGACATGCCTCTGCATCTCATAAATCAGTTCATAGAATCATAGAACTGTTTGTTTTTGTAGAGACCTTAAAGACCATCTAGTTCCAACCCCCCTGCTGTGGGCAGGGACACATCACACTGGACCATCATCTGAATGCTTGTGTCTTTAGACTTTAAAAAGTGATAAAAGTAAACAGGGTCCGACTTAGGTGGGAAATCTGTGTCCAGAACTTGCTCAGTTTCTCTGTGCAGGGTCATGCTGCTTCTGATGTCATTGAGAAAGTCAAAGTGAGGTTTGCCCATTGGCCTCAGCAGGACCAGCTGTGGGAGCAAAGCGATCAGGTCTGTGCCCTTCAGTTGTGGCCAGTCGAGGAGGTGCTGAAGAGTCTGGAGGCTGTCACAAGGCAATCCACATGGCAGCACGGATAGTGGATGTCTGTCTGTCTTGCATGGTGTAAGAAAGACAGTGGTGCATGAACGGTGCGGGCAGAGGAGGACATGTGGGACACACGTGTGCGAGGAAGGGGAGGCTGCTGGCGAGGATTCTGCCATGGATCCTGCTCAGAACAGGCTGTTCTTCATGGGGAAGAGGGATACTCTGAGAAGTGTTATGAGGCAGCTGAAGCGCTCCGGAGGCAGTGAGTCAAACGCTCAGGATGGATTTTTTTCCCTGACGAAAACCAGACATGGATTAGCAATTGGAGCTGCAAGTCAGAAAGTATAGGTGGTAGGCATGCGGCCGCGCACGTACGTGGCCAGGAAAGTAACAGCAAAGAGCCACTGGCCTGCAGGAAAGGGAGACACAGGTAAAACAGAAATCCACTCGGATATAATGTTCTGCGTCTGACAGGACCGGAATTATTTGGCTAAGGTGCCTGAGACTTCCACATGCGAGACGCCCGATCCTCAAAGGCGCCGGCTGCACTCCAAGCAGTGTTTACTCAGCACTTCTGAAAAGCAGGCTGCATCTCTCCACGTGCTTAAACAGGAATATACCGGGTGGGAAGCCTGGCTTCAGTTTTCCATGTGTTCAGGGATGCTAAGGATGTTTCAGGCACACAGCGGGCTATGGAAGTGCCTGCAGACGGACCTCCCCAGTGGTGGTGAGTTGCACAAATGCACCCCTGCACATTCACTGCACTTGGAGACTACCACCCTCAGTGTCAACTGATGAACGAATGAAACTGGGTGCAAAATGTAACGGCTTAAAACTGTGATGTGAACTGTGTGTGGCACACGGCATTTGACAGCATCAGCCGGGTGTTTGCGATACAGCACGCTCCAGTTCTTCTGCAAACACTGCTTTCCCTTTTGGGTATGCACATGTTTTCAAGTATAAGGACTGCTTCTTTATCAGCTTCTTTTCCATAAACCCTATCTGAAAGTCGAGGTTTTATTAATAACTTTCAAGTGGCTATTTTGCAAGCCTTCCTTGTGCTGCACACTTTCCTAATTCATTGTAATTGCCCGTCCGGTGGAGTGCACTTACTTCCTTTATGTAATATATCAGCTGCAGGGCTGGAAATCGTGCAGCTATGAACTGAAAGAGCAGACTTTCTTGAGGCCAAATGCGGCCAGGCATCATTGCCACTGGGAGCAGAATTTGACCTCATAATCTAATCTTATAGGAGAGGCTATCTCCAGGAAAAGTATTGTTACCAGCAGTAAATGACCTCTGCTAATGAAGCTGGAGCAATTAGCCCTATTCGAAGCTGTCAAGAAAATGTTAACTGCTAAACAACAGTTAATGTTGGATAGCTCAAATAATGAGTGTTTTGTTTGCTGGTGTGTGTTAGGTGATGTGTTGGGAAATAATTATCCTTTGACTAGCAGCCAGCTTTGTACTAATCAGAAAGGAGAAGTCATGTTCCGTTTGAAGGATTATACCTAAAAATAGTCCTGTTCCCGCCACATCAACGAGTGAAATGAAGCAAATTCACAGAGATGTACACACCTTCTTCACATTTCACTTTTCATCCTAAAAACTCATTGTTCAGCTGGAGCTTTCTGTTTGATCGTGTCAAAAGCACTAATGTGATGTCCTGCACTAAGCACACTCCCCATGAGGAGCATTACCCTATGCACCACTGACTTGCTTTCAGAGGCTGCCAAACTCCCCAACGCCCCAGGAGGAAGCAAGGAGTCATTCTCTTTATAGAAACAATCACATACAGAGTAAGATCAACAGTGTTTGTAATGATCATCTCACAGAAGAAACTGATATGCTTTGTATTGAGGTGTTTATAGGCCTGCCCATCTGTGAGGAGCAGCCGTGGTAACAGCAGGTGATCTATTTGTCCAGCGCAGTAACTTCAGGCTGTCAAACTCTGCTTGAAGAGGTGACCGAGATGGGGAAAGGATAAAAAAGGTGATGCTGCCAAGCAAATCCACTATTGTCACTGCAAAGAGCAGAAAACTGGGGCATTTTTGGCCATATTGTAGGTGTTGCCTTTTGCTGGTGAAGTGTAATTGGTTTGGATGGGGATGCAGCAGGCAGCTGCACTATAAACACAGGTTAAGAAGTGTGAGAAGACAGACACCTTCCATACAGGACCGTGCCACCATAGTAGTGGAAGCTGAAACATGCCCCCTAAATCTCTCTTCTTTTTTGGCTTACAGCAATCTAAAGCACACCTGAGCAGCTTCTTAACCAGTGTAAAGCTGTGCCACTCCCTGGCCATCCAGGGACACAAGCATCCCCCTTAGCATCTCCCCCTCCCATTCAAGGGACTCCAGCTTATGATGAGCTTTGTTGGACCTTGACCCTAACCCTCTTGCGTGGTGCCAAGCAGGAGGTGCCTGTGGCACGCAGGGTGGGTGCTGCATGGTGCAGGGTGCGCCACGCTGTGCCGGGCGTGCTGGTGCAGGCTGCCAGCCATGCCACTGCCCTGAGTCATCCTCCATCCTGCAAACACTGCAGGCAGTGGGGCTGGAAGTGAAAGGGTGCTCGGGTTTGTTATGTAAACTGGTGATCAGCTTCCTGGTTCACCAAAACTGGCAGCTTGCTATGCATGTTTGCTTCTCACGCTGTTTAAGTCTTCCCATCGCTTGGCTCCTGGTGTTTGCTTGTCTGGCCTTAGCACCCAGCAGCATGAGGTTTTTGGCTGTGCCCTGGGAGCAGTCTGCATCCAGATGTGGTATCCAGATGTGGGTTTTGTTGTACCTGTTCCTTCCAGGGGTGATGCTTGGAGTTATTAGCACCAGTTGCACTGAAGTGCAAAAGTAGGAAATGAGTCTTGACCTCCAGGTTCACAGCCTGAAGGAGAAAACAGATGCTTGCCCAGGCTTTTGCCATTGCCATGGTTAGCAGAGCATCTCAGATGTAACGGTGTGCCTTTCCCTTCTGATCCTGTGTAATGCACCGAATCCCGTTGTCCTTTGTGAGATTAAATGAGGATTTTCCACTAGTTTGGTGCTGCAGCCATTAGCCACTGTTGCGCATCTCTCGGCAGTGTCTCTCTCAAAGCCTTGATATTTAGACTATTTCCTACCAAAAATATTTTGATCATTAGTCTTAAGCTCATTGGCACAATGCTTTGAAAGGCAGATGGAAGTGTATACACCAGAGAGACAATCAGAACCACTGGAGAGCTCAAAATCCCAGCAGCTGCTAGGTGTATAAATATTTCACCTACCAACAAGTTACTGTGCAAGTTGGGACTGCAGAATGCCCTGTCACTGTAAGGCAATATGACAGGGACAGCACAATAGCTGCACAAACGATTTGCCAGGTGGTAAACTTGAAACAGTGCTCTGTGGCCAAATTTTAAGAAGAAGGAATTGAGACAATCCCGGGCAGGATTTCCTAGCAGAGAAGGGAGAACAACATTCAGGGTTAAAGCTTCCTTGTACAGACTGATCCAAGCGAGAGTTACAAATGCTGCTGGCACCCTGTGCAAGCCACAATAGTGGACAAGTGCTGCCCACCCCAGGATCCCCAGGGACAACTGACAGTGTCCATCCTCTCTTTCTTCCTATTTGGCATATAGCATGTCCCCATCTCGCCTGCCCCAGCATCAAGCATCAGAGGTGTCGGAGGGATGCCTGGACACAAAGGTGTGTGCCAGCCTATGGGGCTTGCCAACCCACCATTGTGCTGGGGAGGGAGGAGCACTTCCTCTTGAACTGGAGCAGGTAAATGGGGAGACGTCCCACAACTCTCCCATTGTTTAATACTCAACTGCTTGTGGAACCCGCCTTCAGCAGGGGTGTTTTGTTTGTCTGTTCTTCCCCTGAATACCCGCTTGGGAGCTGTCAAATCAAATCTCAATTAGCTCGCTCACGCCACGAAGCTGCTGTGGTATGTGATCCCTGGCAGGCAGCTGCCCTCACTGTGATACAGCAGCAGAGGCAAGGGAAGAAAGGAGGGGCAATGGAGGAGACCTGTTGCTCACACGACTGAAGCATCACTGGTACCCTGGCAGGTTCCCATCACCGGGCTAGGACAGCCACAACACACCCAGGCTGTGCCTGAAATCTGACACAGGAGCATTCAGTCTGCTCACAAATGGGGCTTTTTGGAGCTTTTATGTTCTATTCAGTGCGAGGCAGCTGCTGCTGCAGTAATTTCCAGTAACAACAGAGATTATAAGAGTGCTCTGAACCACCTTGAGAGCATCCACGGGAGACGTTTTGTTCCTGTTTCACTGCCAGGTGGTTACCAGCTAGCTGGCAATACAGTGAATGTATGCCTGTGGTTTTCGGCACCAGCCCATCCAAGCCAGGGCTGGTGCTCACACCCTCCCTCCCCATCCAAGCCCTGTTGCATGTCCCACTGCCTGACTGGCTCTGCTGCCTGTGCAACCATGTGGAGGTGCTCCTGTGACTGAAAACCAGCCCTTTCAGAAGAGGTATATTTCAGGTGATCCATACAGATTGCATGAACACGGGTAATGGCATGAGGGGCATGGAAACATGCAGAGTGATGGGGCTAAGATCGTATGATTTGGTAGGGGTCCTGATTTGGACCCATTGCTGTGATCACAAACCTCATGTCCAGGGGTGATGCCGCAGAAGCTGAGACCCAGAGCAGCACCCTCTGGCATGCACTGGAAAAGCAGGACTCACCACCCAAACCTTCCCTCCCCTCAGGGGCCACTCTGAATACGGTATTCAGAGGTTTTATGACTAAGTCATTAAGCTTCTCATTGCATGTGAAAAATGAAAATAAATATAGTTTTGTGCAAATATTTGTGCAGCAGAAGAAAAGCATGATTTAAATCTGATTATCTGCTGTATAGATAAACAACAGTGAAGAGCACGGGACAGACTCCTCAACGTTTTGCAGAGATTGAGACCAGGGATGCTGGAAGTGCAACTCAGGCACTGGGTGACAGCACTAAGCTGTCCCCGACTACAAGAGAGTGGGATGGCAATGAGCCACAGGCAGTGGAAAAGTAATTTCCCAGGAAAAGCAGCTCTGTTTGCCCAAAGTCCCTGTGTGGACCCAAACACTGATGGGCACCATGGAGCTGCTAGTGACTTGTGAGTAATGCCCATCATGAGTGTCTTCTGGTGGAGGGTGTTTAACTGCTTTTATTCCTGCACACTTCACTCATGTGGGAGTAAGGAATGTTGTGATAAAAGACCTGGAATGATTTCAGTGCTGGATAGTTTCCATTAGTACATTTCTCATTACATAACGCTGCCATTGCTGTACCAAATCTGCTAAGCTGCCTTTTAGGAAGGTGGAACGTCTCTGTGTAGCCATAACTAATAAAGTGGTGGTGTAGAGCAAGCTGGGCTTTAATCAAATACATTTGAATTGCACCGGGTGTGCTTGGGCTGTTCCATGGTATGGATTTCCTTGCCTTTACCCTATGAGACACCTCATATATTAAACGGTTGGTGTTGTCAAATGCATGCCATTAGCGCTCTGAGCAGATAAGCCCTTCGGTGGCCTCATCGGAGTCTGTCACAGGGCCTGTCTCCAGATAATGGCCTGGAAGAAGAACAATGGTTCTGGGAGCTCCCAGGGACCTCCACTGTTTGGTTCTGTGCTTCAGAAGAGAAAAATTGTCATTATCTGCATGGCTCAAGATCCCTTTGAAATGCTGCTGTTTTTTTACTCATACACTACAAGTATTTCTGACATGATATCAGTGAGAAACTCGAAACCCCCTTTTGGGAAGAAAAGGATTTCCTGCAGCCCTACTCCTGAAGAAGATGGATAGATCAAGTAGTAAAGTTCAATGACTTACTTAGCATTAAATAAGAAAGAGAGTAATGAATTGGATTTTGTGTGCCTGTTTTTCCTCTGCAGGGAACAGTCAGGCTAATGGATTTTCATTGTCTTCTGCTTCTGTTCATCAATCTAGGTGAGTTCAAAACAGTGCTGTCTTTTTTGTGCTCTCCTTTCCCTGCTCGCTTATTACAACCTCATGTACTTGGAGCTGATAAAACACATCGGTTTGCTACCATCAGCCTCATCCTGACTGGAGGAAAGCACATGGGGTTGACCCCTTACATCAAATGACTTGTGGCTTTCTGCGTGGACATCTGTATTTTGTGCTAGGTAGCTGCAAGTAGGCAATTCCTTGCTTAGGGTGGACACTAGCTTCCTACTATTATGAGCTCAGACTTCAACATCCTTCAAGACAGACATTATTTCCCGCCTGGGTTCACCAAAACTTGGTTGGGTCTCCAAACCGCTCCTTTGTTTACAGGCTTTTCCGAGCATGCCGTAGGGCTTTTTATTGGGGAAGGAAGGGAGGTGGTGTAGAGGAAACTATTACAAAGCTATAGAGCATAAACAACTTTCATGTAAACTCCAAACCCCACTTGGCAAGGAAGAGGTTAAGGATAAGGGGTGGTTGGGGGGACTCAATAAGGCAAAGATATAAATAGTGAGTGGGAAAGCCTGGGGAGGCACACAAGGAAGGGGAGGTAAGGAGCTGACCCTCAATGGGTGGATTCCCTTGGCTTGCTGAAAGCTCTGTGCTCCTCTGACCTCACGGTTTGGACCTGGGTCCTGATGCCAAAGCAGGGGGATGCTCTGGCAGAAACCCTGTGTATCCAGGGCTGTATTGTTCAAAGGGGGACCTGAAAGGTGTTTCGGTCACCTGAGCACTTTCTGCAGCGCTAGAAACTGGGTCCTCCAGACCTTTCAGAGCCAGGAGCTGCTCTTTGCCCACTCGGATGGTTGGAGCAGGATTTCCGTTTTCCTACCAGCCTTGGTGCTTTCTGGTTTGTTTTTGTCCAAATGGGAAATGCATAACATGAAACTGTTTAAACAACTTGTGGTACAAGGAAGCCCGCTGGAGTAAAGTACAACTCTGGAATTCATTTCCAAGGAAATGATGCACTCTCCAAAAGCACTTCACTCAAGCACTACAATTTAAAGTCGCAGGGTAATTGCTGGCCCTCTTCGGTGCTGCCTGCAGCCCTCACCTAGGTCTGAGCATAGTGCATGAGGAGGGCAGGAGCCTGCCAAGATCATCCCTGCTGCTGCCTGGTCTTGCCATCAGCAGATCTTTGCACGCAAGGCACTGCTCAACGTGGACATTGCTGGTGAAGAGGCACCAGGCAATGTTATCTAAACTCTGTGCCAACGGATATGTTAAGATACACACAAATGTTAGCAAGGGCGTTTCCTTAACTATGTTTTAAACCACCCATAGCAGCTATGTGCACCAAGATGACAAAGTGCAGAGTGACCAAGCAAAGGACCATCTCCCCTCTCCCCCAGGCTGTCATGTTGGTACCCAAGCACAGTTGAATGCCTGAGGATCAGGGTGGGTCTGGCTGTTAGAGCTGTCCTGACTGTTGCTTTGCTTGCATGGGTAGGTCTGGACAGCCTGGTGCTGTGGAAGGAAAACCCAGGAGCCACAGAAGCCTCAGAGGAATTCTCTTGTTCTATTTCCAGCCTTTCTTTTTAAGATACAAAGGGCTTCAGATCAGATGCATTTCTGAAGCTTATCTGTGTGAATATTTGACTGCTTATCCAAACAGAACAAAAACCTTCAAACCTTCTGAGGTCCATCCATCAAGAGCCTTATCTCCCCATGTCACCATTCACCTCCCGGCTGCTGCTGCTCGGAGCCTCCTGCCAGCTGGGGCTTAGCTCTGCCCTCCAGATTCCCATATCCATCCCCAGTCCAGGCAGCTACACGGCATTATCCATAGTCTCCTCCTTGGCTCCCTGCCCCTTCAGTGATGGCCTTTGTATTGCATGCAGGCCTGGGCTGCTGCATGGTCTGCAGCCAGCCAGCATCCCGATGGGCTGCATTTGTGCTGCTGTATTGCAGCCCGTCATCTCCATCTCCCACATATGCAGCCATCTGGGCTATGCACACTGACTCTGCTTGGCCCCAACAAGCAGAACATTTGTCTGGTTTTATGGGATATTAATGAAGCCCAGATAAAGGAATGCAGTCTCCTCTGTCTGAGGTTCAAAGACTGAAATATCCAAGGGCAGTATTTCTGATCTGCTCTCTGGTAAAAAGGAGGTTTTGTAAGAGGTCCCCTAAATCCCAGCTGTTGGGTACGGGAGGAGGGGATGTCAGCCCTCACTGCCTGACAGCCACTGATCCCCTCTACTGGAGGATCCTCATTGCTCGGTCAGGCTGCTAGAAACTCAGATATCATCCCTAAAAACCCAGGTGGTAGCTGAGCACAGGACCTGAGCCACTGAGAAGCCCTAGGAGCATGGCAAGCCAGCATCCTCAGTCCTGTGCAGGTTCCTGTCCAGGTACAACATCTGTGTAGTTAGTCTTATGCCCAATTCATACAATGGGCTGTTCAGCCTTGTCAGAAGAGCCTTTGCAGTACTCAGTATCGGGGCCACAGGACATTTCTTGATTTGAAGCTGAGCTGGCACAAGAAGTCGTCTGCAGTCCCGCTGTCCTGTCAGAGCCATGGCCAAAAACAACAGGGTGAAGACATGGAAAGAGCCGCCCATCCACAGTGTAACCAAGTTAAAACAGGGGCCTGGATGTTTGGGGCTGGAGAACAGCTTTTAGGCAGGTCAGAGGCTGAAATCCTGTGCACAACGGCGGGGATCAGTGGTCTCTGCTGCTTGGTACTGCCTGGTCTCAGCCTAGATCTACACAAACCTTGGCATCAGGGTGGCTTTTTCCAATGGGGACTGTTTTCCTATGGTCCGACCCATGGGCTGTTGTTGCTCTCCTCCTTGTGGTTTCAATTTTCTTCTCTGATTTGATAATCAGAAGGGTAAAACTCATTCCCATCTCATATATAACAATGAGTTTGACTCAACAGCAAGAGGATAACTGTACTTTTTATACTGTAGTGTATGATGAGCTATTTATAAATGTCATATCACTTCTGGGTCATCTTCAGGGTTTACAATAAAGTTTTAATTTAAACACCATTTTCCAGTGTTGACAGATGTGATAAATACATTTTTGTTCCAATAAAACCTAATTTCAACAATGTTTTGCAAAAACCAGTATGAGCTAAGGATTATTCCCTGGTTGTTTTTTTTTGCTCTGTTTGTCTCCATGTTCCAGTGTTTAGTTTAATGTTACATTCCATTATAGAAAAAAACATCTGTGACTGCAGTAATTCGTTCACTGAGGCCTCTGCTTGAGGGATGGGAGGATGCTTTTGGGAAGAGTGATGGAGAGAGGTGTTAGCTCATGTCATGAAGGCCTCAGGGCAGTTGCAGCACCTCTCTACACCATCATGGGATATTGTGCCTTCCTCGCAGCTCCATGGGGAGCTAAAACTCACCATCACTGAGAGATACGCTGCATTGAAGGGTCTCAGAACACTTGATCTGGTGGTGGCACAAAGGTGCTTTGTTACAAGCAGAGCTCTCAGGCCTGTGTGACACCACTGCAGTGGTGACAGCAGCACATTAGCATAGCTGCAGGGTATCATATGTTTGTGCAGTGGTGTCCTGTGCCCTGGCTCCAGTGGCACATGGGACTTGTTTTACCTCAGGCTCCCCCACTGAAGTTATTCCTCCAGGTGTGAAGATGGTGGCCACCTCCTCCTGTCTAGAGCATCCTTCCTCTCTTCTGAGGGCTCCTTTTCAGGCTTCAAGACCAGTAGCAAAACCAGCACTCGGGATGCTGTTGCAAAGCCCATTGGCAACTTCATGACAATTGAGCTAACCTTGACATTCCAGGTGATCCCGAAATAAAGCCAGGATTGCACAGTGGGACAGACTTAATGTCTGGAAGGTGAGGTTAAACAGAAGTCCTCCATCCACGGGAGGTTGCATTCCTGTTACATTCCTGTTCCTGTATCCATTGATAAGCTGAGTCCCTCCAGAATTTCTCAGGACCTTCTTTGGTTTTCGTGCTTTCCCATGGAAACAGCTCTGAGAAGGGTCTCTCTTACTGCAATCAAACATTTTAATTCTGCATTAAAATAGCTCTTGCATCAGCTACCATTGTACTGTGGATGCAAATGCAGCACAACAGAGCCCTTACGTGTTGTGAGGTGAGTGGGTCAGATTCTGTGCTGGAAAAACAGAAGTACAAGGAAAACCAACTTGGTTTAAAGTGCTTTAAAGCTGCTGCCTATCGTCTGAGCCACACAGCTTACAGCCCATACTTCTCATACCACCGCCCTGTTAGGCAGTCAAACAAAAGATGATGCTACTTGGAGAGCACATCAGTGTGATGGAGACATGCAAATGCTGACACTTGTATCCACACAGACTGGCCTCCATCTGCAAGGAGCTTCTGGCTTCCTGAAAATACCTGGGAAAAGGGCATGCAGATACAGAAGGGGAGAGAGGTCTTCTTCTGATGGGGTGCTGTGTCGGTCAGGCTGCTTTCGTGGTGATACCTAGAGGATGTCATCTGCTGTGGCGAGCTATGATAATCCTTTCACTGGGAGCAGGTGCCGGAGGATAATCCTGCTGTTTTTCTTGGATATGCTTCTCTTCAGCCACTAAGACTGAGCAAACAGGATTATCAGAGCAGCGATTCTGGAGGTGAAGGTACTGGTGCTGTGTGGCTCTGTGGACATCAGTTTCCAAGGCAGATGCTAGCTCTGCTGGGCAGCCTGCCCCAGTGAGGGCAGCGGGTGAGGAGGTGAGTGGTCAGCACCCAAGGGATTTGCTGGCTGGCTCCTGCCATCCTCACTCAGATCTGCACCATGCCCCTGGGGACAAGGGCTGGATCCCAGGTGCAAAGGCCATGCTCTCTACAGCTCTCCCCCGCCCCACAGTTGTGGGTAGGATAGAGACTGCCTGACCGCAGCAGTGAGTGGCATCACCCCAAAACCTGGGCTGGGACAAGGCACTGGTGGAGGAGCTGGGGAGGACAAGGGGTGACAGCTCTGGGCTGCCAGGTCTGCTCTGACAGGAAGGCCTGAGGACTGCAGACCCCTCTAGGGTTTACTCGGTTTCCAAGTGGAGACCAGTAACGAGCGGTGTGCCTCAGGGATCGGTGTTGGGACCGGTCTTGTTCAACATCTTTGTCGCTGACATGGACAGTGGGATTGAGTGCGCCCTCAGCAAGTTTGCCGATGACACCAAGCTGTGTGGTTCGGTTGGTACCCTGGAGGGAAGGAATGCCATCCAGAGGGACCTTGACACGCTTGTGAGGTGGGCTGATGCCAACCTTATGAAGTTCAACCAAGGTCCTGCACTTGGGTCAGGGCAATCCCAAGTGCAAATACAGGCTGGGCAAAGACTGGATTGAAAGCAGCCCTGAGGAGAAGAACTTGGGGGTGTTGGTTGACAAGAAGCTCAATATGACACATCAGTGTGCACTTGCCGTCCAGAAACCAACCGAGTCCTGGGCTGCATCAAAACGAGTGTGACCAGCAGGACGAAGGAGGTGATCCTGCCCTTCTATTGCACTCTTGTAGAACTGCACAAGTCGTGTGTTGAGCTCTGGGACCCTAAACATAACAGGGACTTGGACTTGCTTGAGCAGCTCCAGAGGAAGACCATGAAGATGCTCTGAGGGTGGGAGCAGCTCTGCTCTAGAGACAGGCTGAGAGAGCTGGGCTGGTTCAGTCTGGAGAAGGTTCTGGGGAGACCTTAGAGCAGCTCCAGTGCCTAAAGGAGCCAGCAAGAAATCTGGAGAGTGACTTTTTGCAAGGGCCTGCAGTGACAGGACAAGGGAATGGCTTTAACCTGCCAGGAGATTTAGATAAGATCTTAGGCAGAATTTCTTCCCTGTGAGGGTGCTGAGGTGCTGGCACAGGGTGCCCAGAGAAGCTGTGGCTGCCCCATCCCTGGCAGTGTTCAAGGCCAGGTTGGACACAGGGGCTTGGAGCAAGCTGCTCTAGTGGAAGGTGCCCTGCCCATGACAGGGTAATCTGGGTTAGTCTCTAAGGTCCCTTCAACCCAAACCATTCTGTGATTCTCTGAAACAACAAACTGCTAAATAAGCATGTGTGTGCAGAGCCGAATGCTGAGCTGCAGGAATAGGGACCAGAGACGTGCGCGTCAGGAAGGGTTGTTAGAGCTCCTGCTTGCAGCCCTGCTGATAAGGCCGTTTCCAAGAAATTGCCCAGCCCTTAACTTCTAGAAACCCTCTCTTCCCAGGTCAATAACCTTTTATGGACTGCAGCCTGGTGTCACTCTATGAGCAAACACGGTCCAGGCAGGACCTGCTGCAAGTGATACAAGAGAGAGGAGAACCCGTGTTGCTATAAGACGGGATCCAGAAACACTCTGGCGCAGCAGACTGAAACACACAGTGAAAAGTCCATTTGGTCATTCTGGTGTCGGGAAAGCACAAGGAAATGTTCTTCAACTTCATTTTTCTTCGGCCGAGTCTCCTTCTTGCCTCAGGGGGGTTGAGGTGGTGGTAGCAGTGCTGCTGCTCTCCCATTCCTGTGCTGTGTGGGCTGCAGTACTGCAGGGCTTGGACTGCCTCCAGGGTCTTCCCTCTTCCTAGGGAGTGCTCAATCAGCCCTAAGAGTTTGCACCCAGCCTGCTCCAACAAAAGTGCCCTGCAGCTCCCTTTCCTTGTTTTTGGCCAGCCTTAACTTCAAACACGAGCAGAGCCTCTTAAGAGAGGTTTCCCGTAGCATCTTGCAGCTCCATTAGGAAAAACGTTCACTGTGTCTCTGTGTGAGAGCACCCTGACAGGGCTGATTGGACTCAGTTGTTTGGCTCCTTCATTTTGTGGGGACTTTTTAAACCATCTTATGCAGGTGTGGGAGTTGACACAACAGAGCATGCACTTCATTAGAGTCCATCCAGCTTGTGTGTAAACACCGCTCATCCCTTCCTAAACCTCTTAGGAGCTGTTTCATAAACACACAATGCTTTGCTTAATGCCCAGATCATGTGCCATTTCCTCTGCAGGCCCGGCGGTGGAGCAGACATGGGCTGAGCCCTGTGTCCTGCAGAACAGTGCCCGGGGCTGGCAGCAGAGACAGGCAGAGGCTACCACCTGCTGGACCTTTCTCACTGACTCCCTGCTCCTCACAATGCCATTTACTGATGGCACCAAAATGCTGTGCGCTGAGCATCATGGCACAAACACCTCTCGCTAGCTCTTCATCAGTAACAGGGCTACTGAGATGGGGTAGTTGTGTAAACGGTTAGGATGCTCAATGAGTAGCTCTGTGGGACTGACCTGTTTGCTGCTTGCTTGGGGTCTGACATGTGTTTTCCAGAGTCGGGGTGTGCTCTCATGCTTGCTGGCCCTGCAGGAGAGAGGCACCTTCCTGAGCTGAACTTGGGAACCTTAGTGTGAGGTGTCCCTGCCCATGGCAGGGGGGTTGGAAGTAGATGATCTTAAAGTCCTTTCCAACCCTAACTATTCTATGATTCTGTTTCCCCATTGAAACTTGCTCCTACCAAAAAAACAGAAATGACTCTTCCACCAGCCCTTAAGAAGGGGGAATAAATTCAGTGCACACTGGACGGGGGACGGGGACATGCCTGAATATGTGGGATCCCACACTTGCATGGGGCAACTTGAGGGCCTTAATGGGAAGCACCCTTGCATGCTTAAGGGTGTTTATGGGAAGTGGTGCTAGAACATGAACCTAGCTCTGCCATGCAGTCATCATCATGCAGACAACCCTGCTGAGTAGCCAAGTTGGATCCACAGGGCTACTGCTCCTGTGAGGGTGCAGGACCTGGCCTGTGTAACCCAGCCCCAACTCAAGCATCTTGGACAAACGAGTCCTGC